TCTGATTACAGTCTGCACTATAAGCTGGTGTAAATGTGCAATCAGGGCAACAAAAGAGAGGTGAATTGCTCTATGTGAATGATAATTTGAATATAAAATCTGTAGTGTAAATGTGCCATCAGTGCAACAATAGAGTGGCTATGGAGGTGAATGCTGTATGTGAATGATCCTCACAGATTTTACATTCAAAGCCGGTAGTGCAAATATAGCAATCAGGGCAACAATTGTGGGTGTAGAGGTAGATTGCTGTATGTGAATGGTCATTTGAAAATAAATGTGTATTTATAAAAATGTTAAGAAATCTAAATTTCTTTTCCTGTTTGTTGTTCAACAGTGATGGCACTTCAGCACCAATATTCTGCAACAGGATTTGGCAAAGGCTAAAAACCAGAAGCCAATGTCTCAAAAGGCATTCTGGGAGACTGATTTTGGAGCTGGCTGGACATCCCAACAAAAGCAAGGTGCCTGACCCTCCTCCTCGTCGATCTTGTGAGTGTCACAGTCCTGTGCACATCAACTTTTTCTGCTCACTTTTTGAGAAATGTTTATTACTGTCTTGATTGCTAATAACAAAGAGAAACTTTTGTTTGTAGATGTATACAAATATATAAATAAAAACTTTTTATTTGCTAAATAATGTGTCGTTCTTAACCATTAAATGAATGGTAGTGAACAAAGACTTTGTTAAACTTTTTACAAGTAAGTTGCCAAGTGTCACTTTGGGGCCCTTTCCAAAAATGCAAACACACACATTTTTATAAACATTTAGGAGGTAAAAAATATACCAGAGAAAGTATATATATTGTGCTTTGTCATATTGTAATAAAAAAACACATTGAAATGATCAAACAAACTTGTTATAGCTCATGGTAAAAGGTGGTTACCAAGTGTCCCTTTGGAGACTCCAAGTGGCCTTTTTGGGTAGGTGCCTAGACATGCGCTGAAATAAATCTTTTGTAAAAAATTCATTTTTGCTTGTATAAACTTCAAATTTAAAACATACATTGTTAAGACCTATGGCTTTAGTTTGCTTGTGTTTCCAGGCCCATATATATTTGCCTTTAGCGTTTTTCTTTTTCATAAAAAATTAATATACAAAAAAAAATTCTCGTCCATTGTTTTTGAGCTTATTTATCTCTCTGTTAGTAATTGCTCAGAACAATTTTAAGTCTTTCATAATAAACTGTCAAGTGTCAGCTTTTAAATGATACCTTGGTTTTGTGTGTGGTCACAAGGACTCATTAGCAACAACCATTTTATTATGGGTATGTCAGTTTGCACTCCATTGCCAAAAAGGGGGGTGCCAGTTAAGGGGTTAAAAGAAATGTATATTTCATGATTGTCACCCAATACGCTGATCTAAAATCCTCATATTAGAGTGATTTCTGAAGAATCATGTGACACTAAAGACTGGAGTAATGATGGTGAAAGTTCAGCTTTGCATCACAAGAATAAATTATATTTTAAAGTATATTAAAATAGAAACCATTATTTTAAATTGCAATAATATTTCACAATATTACAGGTTTATTGTATATATATATATATATATATATATATATACACACACACACACAGACACACACACACACAGTACCGGTCAAGTTTGGAAACATTCTAATTCTAGAAGTCTCTTATGCTCATCAAGCCTCCATTTATTTGATCAAATTAAAAAAAACTGTAATATTGTGAAACAATTTAAAATATACTTTAAAAATATAATTTATTCCTGTGATGCAAAGCTGAATTTTCTGCATCATTACACACACACACACACATTGATTTAAATGTCTTTCTGGAGCACTAACAAAAGAACAAATAAATAAATACATAAATACTTGCACATACACTGCTGCTCTATTGTTCTACTTAATGTGGAGTGGAAGGACTGCTTGTACTGTTTTGTCCCTATTGGATTAATTAGTTCTCGTAATTTTCTAATTTGTAAGGCCAAAGTAAGCTTCTGCTAATTAAATAAATTGTGTAAATAAATGTGCAAATAAATAAATTCAAACATTTCCCCCAGCACTAAAAAAGCAGCTGGAAATAGATTTATTCAACCTGACTAAACAAAGTATATGCTGTATTCATAACTTCACAAATCGTAAACAACATCTAAAAGGGGTATGAATGTAGTAGACATGTTAGGAATTCACTTTTCTATAGGAGCATTTTCAGCTGAATGGATACCGGAGAAAAAAATGAAACTCAAAAATGAAAATTCTTCCATTGATTCTTTCACATTCTTGTGTTGGGAAAGTAAAATAAGACATTTAGCAGAATGTGCTGCTGCTCTTAAAGGGATAGTTCACTTTGAAATTAATTTTTGGTATTTTTTAGCTTACCTCAAGGGCATCCAAGATGTAGGCGTCTTTGTTTCCACAGTAGTTTCAATTTTGATATTTTAAGGGCAAACCGTTCTTGTCTGTAAGTTATAAAGCAGGTCTATGGTCACCACCTTAAAGAGCATGCACAGAGAAGTCCAAATTAAACATGATTTAAGGACTCATAAGTACACAGTGATGGCCTAAGACACGAAACGAGCGGTTTGTGTGAGAAAACGAACAGAACTTATGCTGTTTTTACATCTTGTAACCACAACCACAAAGAGCCCGCGCCCTAAGATCACTTGGACGTGGCTGTGGTTAGAAGAGGTAAAACGATATAAATACTGTCCGTTTTCTCACACAAACCGCTCGTTTCGTGTCTTAGGCCATCAATGTGTACTTACATTTACGAGTCATTAAATCATGTTTAATTTGGACTTCTCTGTGCATGCTCTTTGAAGTGGTGACCATAGACCTCCATTATATGACTGAGAGACAACAACGGTTTGACCTAAAAATGTCAAAATTGAAACTACTGCGGAAACAAAGACACCTACATCTTGGATGCCCTTGAGGTAAGCTAAAACATATCAAAAATTAATTTCTAAGTGAACTATCCCTTTAAAGTCAATGATATGTGTGGCTGTTAAGCAAATGACAGGTTTAAAAATACCATTAGAGGATAATAATGACTTCAGAAGAATTCTTAGTGTGGAGGGAAAATGTCTATGGATGATTATATGATTTTTTTTTTATTATTATTATTTTTTTGCTGAAATATCCCAAGATCACATCAGTGTTAGTATTTCGTTTCTAAAATGGACCTATTTAGAGAAGACCAGTTTTCCCTTAGGAGGTCAGGTAAATTTGTGTTTGTTTTTATTTCCCAGACTCACTTTATGATTTAATCTCATCTGAATTGAACACATCTGTGTTTTCTCAATATAAATTATGTTGCAAAGTGCCAACTGTTCTTTTTGATAACTCACGGTTCCCTCTGAGAAATCGAATCCCATCCGGATAGGAATGTTTGTGATTGTGTGTTTTTAATAGTTATTCATATCTTCTCCTCAATTATTTTGACCTTCAACCAATATCGGAACAAAAGCTGAATTCCTGCATTCAGCATTTTTATTATAAGCTGAGACCTTTTCACCAACAACTTTCAAGGTAAAATAACACTTCACGAGGGTCAAATTCTGCTGGCATCCTGATTTAAAATGTGTATTAAATCAATAATAAGATCAGCTCATAAAGGGCACGACTAGAAAGCGTTAAAGGGATAGTTCAACTAAAAATATAAACCAGGTCATTCGGGTTTGGGTGATTAAATAAAGTTTTTCATTCTTTTGGGGTGAACTATGTCATTGATTCATCTCCAGGTGGGTCGGCAGGGGAGTCAGAGCTTATTCTTGCCCTTGAGTTACTGATACTAATGTTCTGGTCTCCCCTCTGACCATGCTGTTTTGCCCTCGGATAAAAACCCTTAACTCCAGTTCACTCCAGGGGCCCGGTGACATGTCACATTACTCCTCAAACCTGTCATCGCGCAAACCTTCTGGCCACAGAATCATAATAAAGGTTAAAAACAAAAAAACGCATAATCAATCAAAGGAGCTGAACTTCTCCTTCTCAATAAAAAAATGTTATGTAAATTACCCGATTGAGGACACACTTCTAGCTGACAAAAGTGCGTCATTGATGGTGTAATCAATAAGGATTGATTTTCTGCAAAGAGCTGACCTTTAAATAAAAAATTTTGGCCGTGACATACCTCATAAAAGATTCCGTGACACCTCGTATTGTGAAGATACACAAGCAAACAGGATTACAAAAACAACATACACTTTTATTTAGCAAATAGAAAGGGACCGTTTTATACAAACTGTAAACTAGGTACTGTAATAAATTTGTTGGGTATACCTTGAAGAACTGCAGCACACATATGAACCTGTACAGAGACGGTCAGCGATTTTGCCAAGTTGGACATGTTCCCCGATCGACATTCTTAATGGTCCTGGGACAACATTCATGTCAACCTGTCAAGTTTGTAGCTTAGGTTTGAGGTTAGGCATAAGCTTAAAGTAGTTCACTTTTTCAAAAAAAAAAAAAAAAAACTTTGGCTGATAATTTACTCACCCCCATGTCATCCAAGATGTCCACGTCTTTTTTTTCTTCTTCAGTCAAAAAGAAATTAAGGTTTTTGATGAAAACATTCCAGTATTTTTTCCATATAATGGACTTCATTGGGAACCAAATGGTTCAAGGTCCAAATGAGAGATTCAGTGCAGCTTCAAAGGACTTTATACGACGCCAGACGATGAATAAGGTTCATATCTAGCGAAATGAACAGTCATTTAAAAAATAAATAAAAAAGTTTTAAGTTTTATAAGCACAAATGCTCGCCTTGGTCTGTTCTGTGATGAGCGTTCGTGACTCTCCTGTTCGAACTCGTTCATCAAAAGGAATCTTTTTTCGAGTCATGACTCGAAGGGTTCTAGATAAGACCCGTTTTCATCATCTGGTGTCGTTTAAAGCCCTTTGAAGCGGCACTGAAACTCACATTTTGAACTGTTTGGTTCCCAATGAAGTCCATTATATGGAGAAAATCCGGGAATGTTTTCATCATAAACCTTAATTTCTTTTCAACTGAAGAAAAAAAGACATGGACATCTTGGATGACATGGGGGTGAGTAAATTATCAGCAAAAGTTTTTTTTAAAAGTGAACTACTCCTTTAAAGGAATAAACTGGGTTCGGTTATGTTGATTACAACAAAAATGAGTTTCCGCTCATAAACTCTAGTGTTACAATGGAAATGAATGGGGCCAATCTGTAAATAATGAAATATTCTGCTTCAAAGGCTACATAGCCACAATATACATGTTAGCATGATTTTAGTGTGAAAACCCTTTTCTGTGTAAAAGTATATCCTGTCTTACAGTTGCAAAAGGATTTTAAGATCTTAATGCATTAGTTTTAACAGATGAATGGTTTTTTAAAACTATTGGCTTCACATTTCTCAAATCCTTTAAAATGGTCTTAATACACTTCTATTTAAGGTACCTTACTGCAACATCTTTTAAGAAAAAGGTCCTTGCACACCAAATCCGAAATTTTTCCGCTTTAAAAAATAAATACAACCACACGTTGTGTCAATCACGTTTGCACACTGCCTCTGAAACTTTCATTCGTCATAAAAAATTTGATTGAGTTAAATTCGAATTTTTCGCATCCGTAGCGAGCATTTCGGGAGGTGTTTTGACAATTCAGAGCCACCATACAAGCGGACCCCAAAATCCATAACTGTTCAGGATCAACTGGTTGACAGAAATTGGGGGTCTTCTTTTTAATATGTGGCTCCGGTATCGCTAGCAAAGCATCAAACTGAGCCACTGACATCCTGAAGTAAACTTCGTGAATCGTTTCGGGATAAAGAGCTGGAACTCTCTCTCCTCTCAACGCAATCTCAGGATTGGACTGACCCAATATTTCCTCTATCTTTTTATTTTTTTGTATTGTTTTGTGATTTATTGCGATGTCTACGCAATGTGCAAGGTTTCAGTGCGTGACGAATTTTTAGGATGATGAATATGAAAAAAAAAAGCGCATACAAAAATTTCAGACTCAAGGCAAGGACCTTTAAACTTATTTTCTTGAGAAATATGGTTGCTGTTGATTGAACTCGTGCTGAACCCAAAATATTCCGAGTTTGGGGCTTCAAAAACATTACCAACCAATCAAGTTTCAGCGGCAGATCATGTTAACGTCAAGACATTGTTGTTCCAGGACAAACAAAACATGTTAATCCAGGATCACATCCTACTTGATGGGATCACGGAAACCGGTACAGTGCTTTAACTGCATGACAAACCCACATGAAAACATCATGTACATTTGTTCCCTCTACTCACAATTAAGGACTTAAAGATAAAAAAAGCACTTGTGTTCACATCATCTTACAACACAGTTTTTTTTCTCCCGTTTATGTTACAATGCGTATACTCGTTGACCATCTGAGGTTAAGGTGTTAAGTCCTTTTTGGATCACCTTGGAATGAATGTCCATAAACAATGCAGCTGATAAAGTAATGTTTCAATGGGGTTGTGCTGCCACCGCCACACAGTTCTCGCCATTATCATTGCAGTTTTCGTTTTCAGCCTTCTCCAAAAGAAACAGAAAATGACACATCTCAGCCTGAAATCACTGGTTTGTGTAAGTATACAGAGCAACACCTGCAAAATCAAAAGATAAACCTGCAATCTTTGGTAAGAAAAAAAACCAGCGACTTGGCCCACTGTTGTGTTATTCACTTCTAATTAAAAGACTACCCGTGGTTCCCCAGCAATCCTGGGAATACCTTAGCGTTTGCAATAAAAGAAGCACCTGGGTCTTCTGTAAAATGTCACTGAGGTTCATTTTAAATGCTAATAATAAATCCAATGTTGCTTAACTGAATGCTGCTGAAACCAACCATCCTAAACACCCCAACATTAGCATTTGAGCATTAAGACAAAACTAAATAAAACATATAGCTGAATATTTCCATACAGCAGCATTACGAAGAACGGGTCTTTGACAGGCGGGTGAGTAAACAGAGTCTTTTGGAAAATTCCCTGGAGCAAATGTCCAATTTTAGACAAATATGTGTACTGAAGTCTCTTGTTTGTCTAGTCTCTCTCTCAAATTTGTCCAAGTTGCACGTACATATTCACTTACTACGTTACCGAACAGTTGAAGTTCATCCTGTCAGGCTTTTAGACAGAAGGAGAATATCAGAGTAAGAGAGAAGGACACTGATCATGATGTCCTCAGCATTTTTGGCACAGAGTATCATTGAAGGCAAAATATTCGAGATTTTCATCAGTGTGAACTAAATGGGTTTCTATGGTCAGCTAAAAATGGGCAAACTGATCTAAAAGCTAGCGTCATTGATTTCGAGTAAATATGTTGGTCTGGCTTCTACCTTGCTTGCATTTTCCCCCCTAATGCACTAATGCGCGTCAGTTCATTCAAATCCTGAAGTTCATGGGAAGCGCTCAATGGATGGTAGGCCCTGGAATTAACTTAGATCAAGGGCAGTTACGTAACACCAAACAAATCAGCTCAACAATTTAGTAAAAGTGGGCCGCCACAAATTCTGTTCGGGCAAGTGAGCTTAAAGCGTTCCAATGCGAATTGAGAGACAGTTTACCTGCATGTGAGGTATATGTTGGTAATCATACACCCTCCCATCTGACAGCTGACATACCAGTTCAGGGGCACACTAAACTATATGCATGATGCAAGATGGTTTTCATCCTGGATATGCTTGGAAGCACTAGAAAGACCTACAGAGCGCTTCCTATGGTGTTTCCGGCAAGGTCACAACATCTTTCTGGGTGGCTGGGCAGATGTGTTGCATAAGATGCAGTAATTACATTTTTCCATTGTGCATTAGTGGTATTCCACACTGTCCTAGAGCAAAGTTCATCCGCATAGAGTTGGCAAAAGAAACGGTTTAAAGGCAGCCGTGGTGCCTGCGACTACTTTTGTACGTTTAAAGTGGATGGATTTAAAGAGGGAAAGCAGAACTAGAGACTTCTTCTAACATTTAAATAGACCCTGTGACGGATACAAGAATATATGTGATTACTGCTGGGATCAAATTGTCCTGCACTGTGACATGTGTAGGGCTAACAGTAAGGAAGGGGGTTGGGTGAGTTCTTTGACATCGAAGCATTAAAAATTACATCCAAATTTCATGGCCACTTCCACAGCTGATAAATCACATAGCAGACTACCCCGTGACTTCTTTGACATCACACCAACGCACACACCGAAGACAAGGTAAGAATGGCTACTGCTCTCAAGTCACATTATGGGGTGGTTTGCACATACAATTTCACAACTAGCAGCGTATGGAGATGTTGACTCAGCCAACTCTGATAAATGGTGAAAAATATAAACGACACTATGTACATTTTATTGTCGACAGTAGACGCAACCAAGTTTCACTACTTGTGAGCCATTTACGTAAACTCACCTACAAGATATTTGACTAGTGACCTAACTCTTGTCCTTATACTAACAACAGTAGTTTAACCACAACCACATGGGCATGCACATGTATACACAACATGTATACATATGCATACACGGTTTATTCACATTACTTTCCATTGATGTCTTGCAACAACTGACCTGTTAAAGTCAACAATAAATGCTGCGAATATTTTGCAGATAGTTATCCAGCATAAAGTGCCTTCAATTGGAACATTCGTTTGTTTTCCCGCAAGTTTCATTTAGTCCAAGAATTGTCATTAAGGTCCTCAGTGAAGCTTTGTTTTTTTGGATTCAGTACTGTATAGAAACGAGGATTCTTTGTCGGGGTCAAATCTCACCCAATACTCAGCAGGGTACGGATTTGTGCTGCCCGTTTTGCGTAATGGGGTTGATCTTTTCTAGCGAGATTTCCGCGTCGCTGTCCAAGTTCCCCGACATAGAAGGTGACAGTTTCTCAAAGGTCTTTATCCCAGAGTCGTCCTCCTTCTTCGGGGTCTCCTCCTCCAGGCAGAGGATACTGTGAGGGATCACATAGTTGCTGTTATTGCCCTCTTTGGGGATGTGGCCCTTGGGCTGATAGTGAGAAGTAGACGGAGGGCCACCGTTGTTGTTGATACTCACAATCTCTATGGCGTTGCTGCCCGGGCAGAGCCGATGACAGCCCAGCAGGATGGAGAACGCCTTGCGGAAGTCAGCATTGAAGGCATAGATTATGGGGTTGAGGGAGGAATTGGCCCAACCGAACCAAACGAAGACGTCGAAGGTGGTGGAACTGATGCACAAGAAGTCGCTCTCGCTCTCGTTCGGGTTGCAGAAAGGAACCATGCAGTTCAAGACGAAGAAGGGCAGCCAGCAGAACACGAAAACGCCCATGATGACCGAGAGGGTCTTGAGAACTTTGGTTTCACGCTTGAAGGACATCTTGAAGGAACTTTCCGACTCCATACTGCCATTGTTACCCATGCTACTGTGGCGGTTCTTGGCGCTCTCGGCCGCTCTTTCTAGCGCAGAGATCCGGCGTATCTGCTTCTGAGCGATGCGGTAGATGCGGGTGTAAGTGACCAGCATAATGGCCACAGGTATGTAAAAACTGATCAGGGAAGAGGAGATAGCATATGTTCGATTAAGGCTGGAGTCGCAGTTGTCCGGGGGAAGCTCGCCGTAGGTGCCGTTCAGCTCCGTGTAACTGGTTGTCTGGGCTTTGTGCCAGTTTAGCTGCACTGGGATGAAGGAGATGAGGATGGACAACGTCCACGCCACGCTTATCATGACGAACGCCACCTTGGGCGTCATCTTGCGCTCGTAGCGGAACGGGCTAGAAATGGCCCAGTAGCGGTCCACGCTGATGACGCACAGATTCAAGATGGAGGCGGTGGAGCACATGATGTCAAAGGCCACCCAGACATCGCAAAAGGCGCCGAACGGCCAAAAACCTACAATCTCGGTGGCCGCTTTCCATGGCATCACCAAAATGGCCACCAGCAAGTCCGAAATAGCCAGCGATATAACAAAGAAGTTGGTGACTTTTGAGCGCAGGTGGCGAAACTTTGTGACAGCAGCGCAGACCAATGTGTTGCCCAGTAAGGTGGTCAGGATGAGGAGCGAGAGAAAACAACCAGTCAGGACTCGCTT